CGCGGGCCGTCCCTCCGGCCCCCGTCGGGCCGAGCCCGAGGAGTCGGCGCTGCGGGGCCCCGAGCTCGTGCTCCCGGCCGCCTCGGGCCGGATCCCCCAGCTCCTCGCCCCGCGCTGCTTGGGCCCCGTGGCAGCTGGGCCGAAGCAGTGCCGCCTCCTGCGGCCGCAGCGCGGGGTTGGGGTTGGGCTGGGCCACATCCCCTCGCCCTGGGGTTAGGCTTCCCCCGCCCCCCTCCTTGCAGCTGGTGGTGCCTGCTGCCGCTGGCAGAGTGGGATCGGGACTGCCCGTAGGATCTGGCCTGCAGACATGGGCACTGCTTATGCAGCCCACCGGGGAGAAAGGGTGAGCTCCCCTGGTCTAGTCCAGCCAGTGTGATTTGCATTTCCCTGGGCACAGGGGTCTCTAATCTGCTCTTCAAAATTTCTGGCAAAGGAGAATCCGCTCCAGGGTGCTTCTTGCCTTGCTTCTCTGGTAGTTGGCAAGTTTTTTCTAATAGCCTAAATCATCTTTGTTGCAACAGAAGCTGCTCTCCTCTCGTCCTGTCCTGTGGGGGCAATTGTTCGTAACGTTCCTTATGGCCTCTGGCACATGTTATATTTGCCATGTGTTGCACACAACTATTAAAATGGTGGACCAGTCATGAAGTTGTTGCTGGTTGAAAACATTGGCAACGCGTAGGGGGTGCACGTGCACCCCCTGAGATTAGTGGTACACTCCCTGCGATCGGCTGCTGGTGATGTTGCCAGTGGCGCATGCGGGCGGTCACCGCTTGCCATCCTTCCCCCCTCGCTGCCGACACCGCCGGTGGCATCTGTGGGCAGTCCCCAATTGCTGCTGGACAGTGGCGTCTGCAGGTGGTTCCCGACCACTGGTTGGCACTTGCCACTGATACTGCCACGGCTGCCTGCGGGAGCTCCTTGCTCACTAACACCACCACCACCTGTGAGTGGTCGCCATGCACCCCCAGCCTCCAGGGGCATGTGTTCATGGTTGTGGCGCAGAAGTATCCCCCAATAATTTTAACATGTTGACATGACAGATGCAATGTCTGCCATGGGCCTTGTGGACCACCTTCACTGTCTTTGTATTTTAAAGCATGATGCCAAAACAGTGCATATTCCTCTTGTGTCTTACTCATCCCTCCTGGGGAAACGGCAGAGTTAGTTTAGCCTTTTTGAAGTGATATATCGCACACTTGTATTTGTGTGTGAGCCACTAGAACCCCCAAATCTTTTTCTGGGCTTCCCATACATGCAAGGGTTCCTAGCTTCCCCACCTCCTAATAGTATCACATTATTGACTTAAAGCTTAGATAAAGAGTTTTAATACATTTTAGTTTTTTAAAAACTAAAACATCTTTTATTCTTTGCAGAATTAATAAATCAAAGCACAGGGGATGTCGTGGTTAGTAGGCAACCACCGATCCTCTGGATCATGGTGTGTGCATAAGAAGTCTAGTCACCAAGACTTTCGACATGTACCCTTAGGCAAGAAAAAGTATGGAGTGGCAACTGCCCAAGACTTACTGTCCCTGCTTTAGACAATTGTGACAATCCAAAGGCCAGACAGAGTCCAGATGTTCAGTGCCTCAGTGGTTGTAGCTTCTGCTAGAGAGGAACAGACAGGGTGGATCTGATTTAAATCAAAGCAATTTAAATCACTGATCAGGAAGCGTCAGTTTAATCATTGTTTTCTACCCAAAGTGCATTTTTTTGGTTTGATATCATTCATTCATTTAACTTCTTGAAACTGCACTTTTAGAGAAAGGTAAGGACTGCGTACACAAATTTGCAGAGACACGAGAGCTGATCGGTAATCAGGTCTGTTATCTCTCATCTCCATATACGGCTGTTAACAAGGATGTTATCTCTGGAGAGACAAATCCACAGTTTGAGAACTGAAACTAAGCATCACAGAGATACTTAACGGGATCTTCTAGACTGAGCACTGAGTCCAATTGAATAGAGTAGTTTTTTTTAATCTTTACTAATCTATAGAGGAGCCTCTGGGAACCTCATAAGATTGGGACCCTGATATAGTCTATGGCCTGTTGTGACTTACTGATAAAAACTTTTCTAAAAAGGTTACATGAATCTATTTTCTCAAATAGTATATAATTAGAAGTTATAATCCCTATTCCATGATGATGTCTTTGAGCTTTAACACATCTTAGATTAAAACTACCTTTATATAGGTGGTGGTTTTTTTTAAAGTATCTTACCAAAAAAATAAAAAATACAATTAAAATTTATTTAAATTTAAGAAATCTGACTTTTTTAATCATTACTTTTTATCCCCCTTGAGAACAAATAAGAACTGCTGCTGACTGCCCAATGCGTCAGCAAGGGCACATTTCTATCAGGGTGATGTCCCTTAGCTTTTTTCCACCCAAGGAGTAGCCACAAGGCAGTGGGGTTTAGGATTTTGAGGTGCCCTGTACTTGCCTGACTCGGGAGGTTGCAACATTGTGGTATATTCTAGAAGAGTGGCCCCACCCTGTTGCCCCCAGGCCCTCCAGTTGGATAAAGTTTACAGTCATACCCCAGACCCAGGCCATGCTTAGTGCTCTGCTAGTCCAATTCTGTTTGGAGTTGCAGGTTTTTATACTTCGTTAAATGGAACTTTTTTCCATCAAACATGATTTCCAGACATCCTAGTTTTCTCTGTTTTAAAATAGAAAATTCTCTCAGAAAAACCCATTGCAAAATCTCTTGATTAAAAACCCCTAATCTCTGATGAAAGGCCATTGTATATACAGGTATCAGTTGAATGCAGTGTTTTATTGATAGATTTACAGTTTTAAAGCAGTGTGGAAGCCTACCAGTGCCTCAATCGCTACAGTAGAATACGTTCTGAATACAATACCTTTTGGCATTTGATTTTGGGTTTTTTATCATGGGAAATCAGAAGTCCTGCTGTCCTGGTCACTTATCAGGATGCCGGTCCAGCTGCAATTGTCCCCTCTCTCCCCACCACTGGTTTGGGTGCTGAGCAGTCCTGATATAACATTATCCCTCACTCCCAAGCCACAGCCTGCCCTAGCTCTGCCAGTGCCCCTCACTCCCTGACTACCTCCTAGTTGCTCACTCTCAGCAGCAGCAGCTTCCCCACCCCCATGCACCAGGATGTGGTGGGTGGGTGTGGGGTTTTGTGGTGGGGGGTTGTGGTGCACACTCCCCACTGCCGGCAGCTCAGCAGCAGCAGGTGGTGGGCCCTCGGGGCATTCATGGCTGTGAGAGCCCTTGGCAGTGTGCACCTCTGGCAGAGTCCCAGGCCCTGCACGTGCTGGCAGGAAGCCAGCCTGGCCTGTTGGCATGTACCTTCACACCAGACTGGCTTGGCTCCATATCAGCAGGTGCAGATCGCAGCACTGCAGGTGGGAGCCATTCACCATCGGGCCGGGCAGCCTCTGTACCTCCATGTGTGGCTTCTCACTGGAGTGCTGGAAGCCCCACGTAGAGGCACAGAGCTGGCTAGCCCAGCCCGATGGCATGTGAACCAGGAGCTGCACACCATGGAGCTGGGCGGGCGTTGTGCCTCCATATGCAGCTTCCAGCACTCCAGTGGGAAGCCTCATGTAGGGGTAAGCAGGAGCCCACCTGGCTTGATGGCATGTGACTCTGTGCCTCCATGTGTGGCTTCCTGCCTGGCCTGATAGCGCACACAGAGGCATGGCATAGTGTGCCATTGGGCTGGGCAGGGCTCCTGCTTGCCTCCACATGCAGCTTCCTGGTGGAGTGCTAGAAGCCCCACATGGAGGCATGGAGCCAGCCAGCCAGTCGGATGGTGCAGCAGTTTGGCACCCGCCCTGGTCTCTGGCACACTGCAGCATCCCCTGAGCTGCAGTGCTGTGCTGTGGCCACTGCTGCCTCCTTGTGGGAGTGGGTGACAAGGCAGGTGCCCTGGTGCTTAACGCTGCTAAGCACCTGCCTGCCCATCCCCACCCCTGGTGGGGCGTGGGCATGCTGCCTGGGTTTTCCCATGCTAGCCTGAGCGCGCCTGCGGACACCTCCCCCCAGCCCTGCCAGTGCCCCCCAGCCCTGACTCTCAGCCCCCCGCCCCCAGCTGGTCCCTAGCCCCCTACAAGTCCCTCTTACCCCACAGGCTCCAGAAGAGAAAGTGAGCCTGAGCCAAGGCCATGCTTCTTCCCTATCTCCCTCCCCCTTGGGACCAGGCTTAGGGTTTGCTGCCCTTTTTGCAAGAAGCTCTTGCAGGCTGGAACTCTGCCAGCCTGCAGAGACCTCTTTGCAGCAGTGGAAAATCCTCATGTTTCTCTGTTAAAATGAAAAATCTGCATTTTTCTCTGGTAAATGGGAAAATCCATGGGTTTGTTTTTCTGTTTTGTTTTTCCATGGGAAACAGAAAACCTGGATCCCTGATGATTTCTAATCATCCTTGCTTGTATCTATTCTAGCTGCAAAATCCAAGTGCTGAAGTAAGGGAATTTGCCTGTGCCAGCATTTCAAAACTGTTACAGCAGAAGCATACAATCCCAGATTTTCTGCAGAGAGATGTTGTCCGGTGTTTAGGCCCTATGTTGCTAGATCAAAGTTTAGCTGTTCGTGAGACAGCTGCTGGAGCTCTCCGGTAAGCATTTAATAAATAAAAAATGTAAGAACGCATTACTTTGATAGATAGCTAAGACAAAGAGTTTCTAGTATAAGAAAAATCAAAGAAGAATGTCATCTTTCCAGTTTTCTCCTTAAAGTATTTCTACATTAAGAAATATTATAGACCAAAGTTGGTGATGCATATAGTAGCATGTAGGTGGTTAAACAAGATATTTTTTTTAGAAGTTAAACCTAGCATATTTTTTAAATCAGTTACAGTAGAAGTAATTGTGGTTTGCTTGCATTTTACTTTTTGTCTTGCTTCCTCTGTAGAGTAGGACAGGTTTTGTTTTGTTTTGATTTTTCCTTAGGATCCTCTAAGCAAATATTCACTCACACTTTTGCTGCTGTTTTGGCAGCAGGCTGTTGTCAGTGCCCTCATCTGCCTGGCTTTAACCTAGGGCATGATGGGTATTGTGTCTCACAGTTGAGTGTGATGGTTTAATGTGGTGATTATGGGCATCCCTTAATGGGGATTAACGGAGTCTCTTGCCTCAGAACCCAAGGGACTGGATTTGATGACATAGCCACAATGAACTAGAAGGGGCCTAAGTACATTTCATTAATAGTGTTTTAAAATAAAGTCAGGTAACGTCTGATCAAAAGCATTTCACTTTCAGAAATCTCAGTGCCTGCGGAGGCTTTGAAGTTTGTGATGACATGGTGACTAAAGATATCATGACACCCCTGGTAGCACTTTTGAAAGAGGTATGCCTATTTCTTTACTTCTAATTTTTTTTAATTGTTCCAGTCACTACATTTTTCCCCTTTGAAAAACGCTACAAGACCTTAATTGTATCTTAAAACTGCAACATTGGCAGGATTACATTAGAGGAGTCGCTTGAGATCTGGCAAGATTCATGTGTCTCCTTGTCTTAGATTTGTAAATGGTTTGTCTTTTATTTTTAACTGATATCTAGCAAGTAGATTTGGAAAAGATGTCCATAACATAACTTTCCTTTTAAGAATTGCAACTAAATCCTTTCTAGAGAGGAACTCTTCAGGCATGGTTTGTTTAAAGAGCCCTAGAGGTAAATTTAGAGATTCCAAGAAAGGACCTGATTCTGTGTTATTTGCCAGCTTGTATCTATGCAGTGTCCCACAAGTTACTGGGACTTGTTGTGGCTATAAAAGCTTTATGCTGATAGATATGACTGCAAAATCAGGACTCGGGTTCCTGGCTTTGAATGTTTACCTGTGTGGCACAATTCAGATCCACCTTCAAACTTGCATCCTATCTCTAATGAGTATTACAGTTATGAACAACCTCTACATTAATGACTGAATTTATAGTTGAAGAAACTACTTTTTTTGCAACCATGAACAATAAATATTCTTAACATCTTTAATTATTCCATATCATTTCTGTTTGGTCTAGTAGCTAAGACACAAAACTTCAAGCCAAGTTGTGGTTCCATTTATCCATTGACCACACTGGTTGCTTTCCCCATTTATAAAACATGGATAATAACCATGTTAGTAAAGCACTGTGTGATTAGTGAGTGTGTTTCTAATTAGCGTTGTCAAAATTAATGGAAATGTGAAGACAGTGTTTGTAAGTAACATGTATAGCAAAGTTCAAGGTATAAATTTATTAAACATTTGTTTACCAAAAAATGGGCTTTTGAAAACTACCAAATGGAAAACAGATATCATACCAGATGATTTTGTAAACATTTGCCTCTCTCCTGTAGAAGGTAACCATTTAGTTTTTACCTGACTCTTCCCATGGAGAATTGCACGCTAGCTCTAAGCTCTTGACCTGAGATCTCTAGTTTGCTCTGCTTCTAAGTGTGCCTTTCTCTTAGCTGCTCTGTTTATGTTTGCTTACAGTGCAGTGCTGGACTCGACGCCAACCAGGTCTCCCCAAAGAAATGCAAAGATACAAACAAAAATTATATTGAAGACATAGCCAATGAGGCTGTTAATGTGCTTTGGAATGTATGGTAAGCGCTGTGTAATTATCAAATTGGGTAGGGCTTTTCTTAATTATTTAGTTCCCCTGAAAAATAGTTTCACTAGGAATATACTAACTGAAGGAAAAGAGGAATAACTTTCCTTATGTGTGAAGATCAGTGCAATAACACAATGATTTAAAGGATGCTTGTATCCTCTTTCCTGCAGATACCTGTCCGCACAACTTTCCATGCAGTCCAAATGACCTTTTGTTGGTTGTAACCTTTCCTCTCTACAAATTCTGTGGGTTTTGGATAGTCATTTGTCTTGTCTTATATAGAACTCTTTACAATGACTAGCAACATTTACTTTAATAAGTATTGTATTATTCTTTGTTTATATATTAGTGAGTGCAATGGCACAGCAGTATCTATATTCAATAAAGAGGGTTGTTTGGATGCCATGTTACAGTACTTGAAGAAGTTCTCCACAAATGTAGATCTGGCTATCTCTGCAGGTAAGTGATGAAAGAGGATGGTAGTGATCTTAATGTAGTTTAATTTTAGAAATGTAGAGATGTCTCATGGCAATTCACAGACATTTTAGGGATGCTATACATTTACAAATGGAAAAAAGACTTCAGAAAAGAACTTGAAAATGTTTGACTACTAATGAGGTTGAATTTCTTGTGCTTGTTTCCACTGCAGTTGGATATTTCTATGGGAGGAAAAGTATTGTGGACATTCAAAAGATATGAAAAACTAATTTATGGTTGATCTGTCTTTTTTTTCTTTGTTTTTTTGCCTAACCAGTTACTGTTTCTCTTTATATAGTCCATCAAGGTCTGATCTTTCAAATGCTTCTGTGTAAGAGTAACATAAGTCAGTAAAGCTAATCCTATAGGTGAAGTTACTCATGCAGAAGTATTTGCAAGAGTAAATATGTGATGCACGCTGACCCCAGATTTGATCAGATTAGCCACTGAGACACACTGCTAGTGTGTTCTCACACCTTCCTGAGTGCCTTTCAATCCCAAACCCCCTGTCTGCTGTTTGCTGCTTGACCACTGAGAACAGGCTGAGATACTCCAAGCTGACCTGTCAGCTTTACCTGTCTTGCCCACATCTTGTCAGCTTTTAACAGAGAGGATTTTGCCACCTAAAAGAATCACACCTTTGTCTGGTCATGTGCTCAGAAATTTTAGATCCTTCTTTCCATAGAAGAGGACTGTTTGTGTGGCCAAATAGTCTCTAGTCACATCTACCACTGACAGTACTATTATAAAAGATAAGAACATTTATTATAAAAACAAGAGCAATCGTAAGAAATCAATAACCATATGTGGAGATGCAGATAGAAATATAAGAATAAAGAAAAGAAGATAATAGAATGATGATTTTACCTTATCCCTGCATCTTAGCTCTAAGGTCTAAGAATGTAACTCTCACGTCTCAGCTTCACAGGTTAGAAAGCAGCTGCTGCCTCTGATCTTCCTGTCAGGGCATCCTGCAACTTCTGCAGCCAGAACACTCAGCCCCCTTAGCTGAAGATCTGAAGTCATTTCTAGTGTCTGAGAAAACTAAAGACAAACACTTGCTCTCATGGCAAGACTTAAGGATGGTTTCTTATCTGGCTATTTACATATGTTACATACATACTATACATATAACTTCCTGTCCCTTCGGGTTCATCTGTTTATGAGAGCAGAAGTCTTTCTTGCTCCAGTAATGACGCAGGGAGCATGTGCATCTTTTCGGACATATCCTAAGGATACCCTCTCTTAATTTCCCCACTGTGAGAAATATCCTTTCCTGAATAGCCTGTTTCCAAGTATTATTCTTGCTACAGTTCTCTCCTTTTACAATGTAAATTTATCATTGTCTCCAAGGGCCTCATTCATAGGCCTCAAATCAGGTTGGCAAGGGTCAGTTTGACTGGCCATTAAACATACCTAAGTCAGATGTCAATTCTCAATGATTACTTCTCTCAGCTATTTAGGCTTGAATCATCTCCCAGGAAAACTCATTGTCTGAGGAGTAACACCTAAAAATCATTATTAAATTATGAAATCTAGGCCTACTAAAACATGTAAACAATACATTTACAGTAAAAGCTGCGTTATCCGGCACCTTAGAAACCAGCGTGCTCCATTAACTGGCATGCAAAAGCAAAACCGGAAGTGCCTACTGTGGCACTTCCGATTTTGCCGAGCCCCCACGGCCCAGGGCAAAGCAGCCTCCGTGGGGCCCCCCTCCCTGTCCCCCAGCACGCTGACACCAGGGAGGGGCAGCGGCGCACCAGATGTGGCAGGAGGGGCAGCAGCCCGAACAGGGAAAGACGCCTGTTTGGGCCTCTCAGGTAACCGGCATATTTGGTTATCTGGCACCCCTCCCATGGTTGCCACATAACAGAGCTTTTGCTGTCTATCAGTTGCCACAATGTAGAGAAACATAAGGATGAAGAGACTAAATACAGCTTGACACTATCCGTATGTAGAGACCACATACACCATATCAGTAAAATGAATTCAAGAAAACCTGCATGACGTTCCACAAACACCTCTAAATATTGTGGGTTTGTGACAAGGTCCTTATGTCACTTCTCTATATGCTTCCTTAATTAAGAACAAAGGAGAGAATTTTTTGTTAATACAGTAAAAGCTTTGTTATCCAGCATGAGTGGGGTAAGGTGGGTGCCGGTTATCTTAAAAATTCCAGTTATCTGAGAGTTATACCCTGCGCAGCCAGGATTGTAGCCGGCCCAGCAGGCAGGTAAGTTTCTTTCAATCTACTTTTGTTTTATCTGTGCACTAGGCAGGCGCAGGCTGCAGCTGCGGGCTGGGCTCTGCTCCCTGTCTCTGCGCCTCACTGCTGAAAGTGGCTCGGTGTGATGTGCCAGGCCAGTCCCGCCACCTGCGTGGAGTGTGGCTGAATAATTTATTAACTTATTAAATTCCAGTTAATGAAGTATTCTGGTTAGTGAAATGCTGGTTAACACAGCTTTTACTGTATAAGAAAATGATTGATCGTTAGGTCAATGTTGTATCACAAATTACTTTTATCCTGTATTTATGGAATAGAATAGCTTTTAGAATGATAATAGCCCCTCAAATTAGAGCAAACAGTATGCTTTTCTTCTTTTGTCTCAACAGCAAATTGTCTACAAGCAGTGACAGAAGATAATCCAGAGCTGCTTTCTTCTTTCAGTTCTTCTGCACATCAAGTATTGGAATCTGTAATGCTGTCCTCAGATACTGCCATGGATTATATCCTTTTAAGGACATTGGTGGCAGGTATAATTTAATGGGACATTATAACACATTTGAGATGTGAAATATAGCTGCAGAGCTCAGTATGCATAAGACTTGTTTTTTTCTTGTGCTAAATTTTTAGTAGCAAATTATGCTGTCATAGTGCCAGCTAGAAGTGAGGCCTTGGTAAATTGTTTGTAAGTACGTTCTTGTCAGATTGCCTGGAGTTTTATACTTCTATTTCATTACTGTCTCATATGAGATACCCAGTATATTTAGAACATGCTTGAAAACCGTTGTATATTCTGTCCCAATCTGGCATGGAGTTAACAGTTTATTTGTTTCTACTAGTGAAGCAAGGCAGTAATAAATGTTAAAGACTATTCTGATCTTGACTTATTGAATTGTTTGAAAATAGACTTTGAACTCACCTTTAGCTAGAACAGTTATTAAATGTAAACATTTTTTTTAAAACAATTTCTAACATGATTAGTTTGGTCACTATAAGCAGGGTCAAACTTGTACTGAAATGGAGATTTGGAAAATAGTTTTGCAATAGTTTGGCTTGTCTAGATCGACCAACCAAATTTGGTCTGAAATTGTTGAAACAGTCCAGAAACTGTTTTCATAAGTGTGTTTTTTGGGTTTGTTTTTTTTTTAAACCCATCTGCTGGGAAGCAAACATCCCGTCTTGTATTGATCGTTCTAGGTGAACCAGTGATGATTTTTTTGGCATTAAATGAAATTAAGAATCCTCCTGTCTTAAGTGTACAGTTCTTGGAAGGGAAGGATTTTATTTAATTATGTTTCATTTTGATTACATACAAGCATGATACAGAATAGAAATAAGTTGCTTATTAAGGAAGAAATACAGAATTAGGATAAAGGGAGATGCTATTAAGAAAATAAGTTTGAAATTAAACTAATTCAAGTCTTGGTGGTTCACCTATATCCCAGTTTCTACAGAGCAGTGCTGGTGACATATTATGTTCAGCTTTCTGCTGAGGTTTGTCATAGCTTGAGGTTTTAGTCCCAGACTGTTTGCAGGAAGTTTGTGCCTGCATCTCTTGCTGTTGCATAGCTCAAGTTTATAGGAAGATCCAGAAATTTTAAGCAGGAACAGAGTCCTTATGCTCTTTTAAAGGAAGCAGTTATTGCCTTGGAGGAAGGAATTAGAAATTAGAGCTGAGTTCTGTTCCCAAGATCTTTTGGGAAAATCAAAAATTTCTTTGTGCTTCAGATTATCGTTACTTAAATTGGGAATAACAATTATCTTTAAAAACACTTGAATATTCTGAGTGAATGATGTGATTTTAAATGATGAATATGAAAATCACAGCTTGTACTCGTTGTAAAAGCTTATGGCTGCAAAGAAATCATATGTTCTATAGTTAGTTTTAAAGGGGTTTTAACACTGACTCTCTCTTGTTTAGGCACTGGCTGGAATATAAAAGATACCATCCCATCCAATAGCTTGGCAAGTACAGTTAATGCTATGTTGAAGATTTTCTCAGAATCTTTAGCAATAGATGCTGGTGAAACTATTATTCAGATGAAAGAAGCTGAAACACAACGGTTAAAGCTTGCTGCAGAGGCAGAAACTGAGGAAAATATGGATGACATGACAGACAAATCTATATTGAATGAAGATGCTGAAATGGAAGAAACACCGAAAGGAAAAGCCAGAAGAAAAAATAATGTTCTGGATCTGCTTCCAGTAAGTATGGCAGACTAGCTGACAGGGTTTAGTGTAGTGCTTTGCTTCTAATTTTGTTTTTGATTAGATGTTAGTCAGCTTAACTTTTCTGTTTAGCCTTATTCTTACAGATGGCTGGATGGTCTTAACTGAAATTCTCCCTAAAAACTGAGCCTACAACTTTTTTTGTTTTAGTATCACAAGTCTATAGGAAACGATTGAAATTTCAACTGAGAATAAAGAACTCCCATGCCTGTCTGAAGGAAGCAGCTGTTTCTCTGAGGGGGGGATTAGAAACTGGGAGCTTCTGAGTTCTGTTCCTGGGGCCACTGGCAGACATTACACTTAAGACTTGCTTAGCCAGTTAACGAACCTGGCCACATGTTTATGCAATTAATGGTACGATAAAACATGGAATGAGCCACAAAATTATAACACATTTTGTGTAATAATTTTGTGGCTGGCTCATTGTGCCTTAAATGAAACATTTGGCTAGGGCGCTCCAAGCCCTCTGAGAGCACTGGAGCCTTTGAGGGGTCTGGTACTCTCCCAGCATCGGGAGTGCCAGTCCACTGATCAGCACTCCTAGCCTTGGGAGCTTACTGGAGCCCATGAGGGCTCTGTGCTCTGAGGGCTGGGAGAACCGATCAACGAGCTGGTGCTCCCAGTGCTGGGAGTGCTTTGGCCACACATTCTTTTTAAGGTGTAGTAGGAACCAGCCACAGAATATTATACATTTGTGTTTCTTATGAGCTCTCAAGGCTAAATCTGACTGGCATTCCCAGCCATGGGCATACTGGGTAGCCAGCCTGCAGCTTGCTGTGATTTCAGGCTCCGCCTGTACTGGCAGTATGGTGTGATTGGGATCTGATCCCCAATCCCACAATTGCACTTTCTGTCATGAGCATGTGGCATGGCAGGAGGTGTAGTTGTTGGGGCTGGAGATCAGATTCCATTGCACTTTTAAATTAATACCTGTCAGTGGCCTCAGTGTGTCAAAAGAAACTTTTCTGTATATTGGAAGCTTTTACATGATGTGGAGCACTGGGTGTCAACCTTTTTGGCAGCTGTGCCACGAGTTAAGCACTGTGTCCCTCCCAGCTATCACTCCAGTCCCTTTCCCCTGCCTCATCTGCTCTGCTTTCTGCTTCCTGCCCTGTCGGCCACTGTGCTACCTGCCTCCCTCCCTTTTCCCCCCCATTCTGCCACAAGCAACACACACAGGCTACCCACGTCATAGATTCATAGATTATAGAGTCGGAAGGGACCCAGTGGATCATCGTGTCCGACCCCCTGCCCCTGGCAGGAATGAGGACCGAGGTCAGACGACACCAGCCAGGTGACTGTCAAGCCTCCTCTTGAAGACCTCCAAGGTGGATGATAGCACCATCTCTCTTGGAAGCCCATTCCAGCCTGTGGCCACCCTTATTGTAAAAAACGTCTTCCTAATGCCTAACCTAAATCTTCTCTCCACTAGTTTGCATCCATTATTCCTAGTTACTCCCTGGGGCGCTCTGGTAAACAGCACATCCCCAATTCCCTGCTGTCCTCCCCTGATAAATTTATAGGCAGCTACAAGGTCTCCCTCAGCTGTCTTTTGTATAGGCTGAAGAGATCCAGATCTCTCAACCTCTCCTCATAGGGCCTTTCCCAGAGACCACTAATCATGCGAATGGCTCTCCTCTGAACCCTCTCCAGATCCTCCGTGTCCCTCTTGAAGTGCGGTGCCCAAAACTGGACACAGTTCTCCAACTGCGGCCTGACCAGTGCTGCATAGAGGGGGAGCATCACCTCCCTCAATCTGTTGGTCATGCATCTGCTAATACACAACAAGCTGCTTTGTTGATGGCCTCGTTACACTGCCGGCTCATGTTCATCTTGGAGTGAACTATGACTCCAAGATCTCTCTCAGCCTCATTTGTGGCAAACGTGCTGCAAGTTGGTCACCCTTGATTTGGAGAATTACCATAGCAATTCAATTGCAGTAAAGACATGCCTGTTATTTAGCCTGAAATGCATGCTGAAAACTTAATTGGGAAGGTTAACCCCAGAAATAAACTGAATTGAGCCAGTTTGGAAGGTGCATCATGGAAAAGGACAACTTTGAATGAGACTGGTTTATATTGTCCATACTGTAACAAATAGCCTGCCGTTGTTCTTACAGATAGATAATAAAATGATAGAGAATCTAATCTCTGGAGTAGAATATGATTTGGGAAGAGGGGCCAGCTCACACGAAGGCATTGGGATCTTCTGGAATAAAAATGTGGATAGGTCTTAGCAGGAACTTCAAAGGCTGACTTGATAGAATGTGAGGCTGCTGTGTTTTTAATTTTTAATTTTTTTTTACCTTGCCCTGCAGCCTGTGTGCCCTCAATGTCCATATCTCATAGGAAATGTCTCAAAGCTATTTCTAAAGTATAATATCTCATGTGTCACTTCAGAGTTGCTGTCAGACATGGTCAACTAACGGCATTCAAACATTATCCCAGTTACTCTGGGTTCCATCCAAGCAGACCTTGCAGAAAATATAAGGAACAGTTTTTCTTGTTGCTTCAATGACTGAAACAGCTATGTTGAATTAAGTACTGATATAGAGCCTGAAGTCAGGCCTGGTTTGCCTTGTGTTCATTTTTAATAATTTCCTTATTGAATTGCTGCCTTCCAATCCCAAGCCCCCCCC